ACAAAAGAAAAATAAATTTTGAAATGCTACAGGAGAACTGATGACGTTTTATTGTTCCACTTGAGCATCCCAATTTTATCGAGGCAAATCGAATGAATTTCTAGTATTAGACTGACGCGATGCTGCGTGTCAGAGGGGGGGGGTTCAGACGTGTGCGGACGGATTGCGTCCACTGGTGACGACAGAGTACAAGGAGAAGAAGGAAAGCAGACACATATTGCGCAAGGAATTTCCTGGAAATAGACTGAAATGAATACACAAAGCGAGCTATCAGCGACTTAGCATTTTGTAAAGCCATGAACGCAGCGCAACCGCATCGCTCCTGCATCTGCGAATTTCCCATGCAGAGCCGCATATATTTCACATTGCATTTGCGCAGCTTACAAATCACGAAGAAAAACAAGTAGGAGATGACTATAAAAAGTGAATTCTCGAAATGAAAAGTATGCAGTTGATTTTTAAAAAATTACACTCAAGCCACGAAAACCCAATAATTGGAAAAATCAATAATTTGATAGCTTACGTGGGTCACAGTAACTTCCGTTAGGTCGAAAATCCTCATGACATTCACATTCGGACAAGCCATTACCCAAGTCCTGGCACTGCTGAGAACATATTGGAGCTTGCCCTGAAAAAATGACAGCAATTCTAGTCTGAATCACGGTAGAAGCCGCCGAGTGGGCGGAGTTTACGCTAATGGGCGGAGCTTTCAGAAAAGGAGAGCTTCCCAATCTTGTAGGTGTAGATCTATTCGGAATTTGGAAGTCATTGAAGCTCAGAATGCTGTAAAAAAATCTGCGAAATTCATCCGATCCTCACCTTTGCTACGCCGTAAGCACTTATCTTCTGGTTCGCATTGGTCACCGACGGATATTTGGTCCGACGGGCAGTAGCAGACTGGCCCCTCCAGGGTAAGACCGACGCCATAGTGACAAGTGATATTGTGCCCTGAATTTCATTTCTTTTCACAGTAAAGGCAGTACTTTCGTGAATGAGAGCCAAGCTAAACCCTAAATGGAGGTCACGACTAGACTGAAACCTCATTTCAAGGCACAGTCCACGCTTATAATGTGGGCGGACACAGCCGCAGAGACGATCGACCTACGTGGCTTTCTAACTGCGCGCCTGCCAAGTTATACAGTGAAGCGAAGTGGGAGCGCACTTCTCTATTAGCGTACAATAGGGCGGGCGGGTGGCCCCACCCACACGATAAGCGTGGACTGCACCTGCGTGGACTGCGTTTCGTTCGCTGTGGATGCTGGGTCGTGTAAAATAAGCTGGATTTGGCGTGGTGCTAGCCAGTTCTTCACCAGTTGCTGATGTTGGGCAGGCGACAACAGTTGGTAGAGAATAATTTGACGCTGTGCCAACCCTCCCCCACACTCCCCAGCACCCCTAGCGAACACTATGTGAAAAACCAAGAGAACAACGTCTTACATGGAGGAAAGGTGTCAGGAAATTCATCAAAAGATCCTGAGCCACATTTGTCGCGGGTGAAGCTCCTGCAGCAATAAGTCGCGCCAAATATCACGCAAAAGGGAACGGAATCTCATCTAGGACACCTTCCCTACTTCGAAATCGGTTGTATGGAGGATGAAACTCTGTTTCATCCCAAAGTTTATCGAAAAGGAATACGAAAATCAAAGCCAGGCGCAGTTTGGCTTGAGGGGGGGACTTTGCACTTTCGCTGCTTCTTACTTACTGCTTGAAAGGCTTAAGCAAGGTGATTAAACAAGTAAGCTGGACGAAGTAATTACAAAAACTTTTGGTACTACTGGCATGCCTTCAGCAAAATCTGCATATAAATCTGCAACTTCAACGGGTTCCACACGACGATGGCAGTTAGCAGAAGTGCACACTGCATACACCCCCCCCTCACCACCAGCCCAGCCGAACGGCGCCAAAACGACCAAAACGAAAACAGAAAAGAAACACTCACAGTCATCAGCATTTATGGTGCTCGTCAGAATGATCATTGCAATCAGCAATACCGTTGCAAAACTGCGACAAATGGATACACCGTGCCTCGTGACGACAGGAATAGAAATTTGGCGGACAAAGTTGTCTTATGAAGGCATGAATAACCCTATACTTACTTGATAGGCAAAGACATTCCAGCAATCGCTCAGCTTTGCCCATCAGCTTAAAGTACAGCTTGCCTATACTGACCTTCTCTGTGCTCTAAGTTAGTTGGGAGGGGCGACAGGTGATAGTAAGCATGCATATTTTCTGCCCGTTTGAGCTCTCACCGGTTTCAGCCAGATGCCCTAGCCTGGTGAGAGGACGCAGACGAGCAGAAAACGGGCATGGTCTCGCCGCTGACTGGTCCAGAAACTGGCTTACCGCCTCTATCAGTAGCAGAATAACACGTACTCTAACGGTCTTTTTTGCTTTGCCAAGTCTTCCATTGCCACTCTGCATGAGCGTCTGGCGTTGGGTGGCGACACGAGATAAAAACCCCCAAGTCACTTCCCTGGGCAAACCTCAAAGGCAGCATTGCGGCGATCAAAAGTAAGGCTATGACCTCTTCGAGATGTGTCAGCGATCCGGAAGGCGCGATTTCTGATGTTTGTTTTGGTTTTTTTGTGCGCTAGGTTACTTTTCAAAATGTGAAAAACGGCAAGAACTCCGCTAGAAGCTGACTAATTAGGCCCATGGACACCCCTTAGGCCCATGCCGACCCTCACCGGCTGCTAGCTACTAGCTAGTAGCCACTATGTTATCTTTCTCTATAACATTTCGGACTGCTTTTTCTGCTGCTTTTCTCCGCTAATCAGATACTTAGCACTTTTTTGTGCCTATTTGAGTTCCGTTTCCCGCAATTTGCGGTCGCGAACTGTGCCTTTAAGCTTAGCAGCACAGATGACCAGCGGTGCGCCAAGGAAGCTTCCGCAGCGACGGACCTAATCTCTACTAGGCTCAAGCTTTGATTAGGAATGGCCAGAAGGCATTGACCCACTGTCGCACCCCCGCCCCCCCAACCCGCTCCAAGAAGTATCAGCCATTCTGCATTGAAAACAAAGAGTAAAATCAAATTGAATAAACTCACATATCGATGGGTCCTCGTCCGAATTGTCGTCAACACCGTTGATACCACAGTCAGCAGTGCCGTCGCATAGATACGACTTTGGCAAGCAACGTCCAGACTGACAGCGAAACTCGTCCGAACCACATCGCACTAAAACTCGTCCACCGCGTAACTTCTACACCACATATCTGCCGGTTTCTAGGCTCATTTACCGCGATTTAAGAAAGTTGTATGGCGGAACCAACCACAGAAAGACATCTCGTCTGAACCGTCTGTACAGTCGGTCTCGCCATCGCACTTCCATTTCAGTGGGACACAGCGGCCATCGCACGCAAACTGGCCGATGCCACAACTTGCTGGAAGTATGGCTTATGTGGTAACCAGTAGCAATCCAATTTCAGGATCAAATGGATCCATGAACAATCAGGCAATCTTGGGAAGACTAGCATTCAACATTCATCTTGATTCTTTATATTCGAGGCCTGGTAGTCTTCAGCAAACTTTCAAGTGCACTGCTAGAGGTGGGAGGGGCAAGCCAGGCACTTGGTTAGAGCGCGCCACTCTCTGCTCGCCCCTCTGCACCCTCCACTGCTTTCAAACAACCCACACTGTATCTCGTAGAGAGAAGCGCGGTACAGCAGAAAAGGGACGTGACCCAATCTTGCTACTGGCTGCCCCTCCCAACTGTCTTTATATTGGCTAACGAACAAAAAAGTCAAAAAAATCACCTTCATTTGTGGACCCCATTCAAGTTTGTTGCAACGGCCGCCTGCACCCGTTCTGTCAGCACTGTGGCTAAGCCGACCAGAAGTGCCACCCGTAAAGATTCATCGAATCCTACTGACATTCGTATTCCGGCAAGTGAGCAAGGAGTGAAACGCTGGCCCAATACTCCAAGAACGTTCGGAAGCAGTCAGAAGGAAATGATTAGGGGTTAAGAAGAGACCTGATTTGCATGAATGTGAAAGCAAAATCGAAAAAAAATGACAGCACGAGAGTGGGGGTCAGCAACACCGAGCGACAGAAGGCGGCTGGAGGCGACTGTTAGCAACAACAAAAAATCGAGGGATTAAATAGTAGAGCTTTCTTTACGGATTGGCCTATTTTCGGGATGGAGTAACTCTTTGAATTTATTTCACATCATAGAAACATTTAAGTGCCGTTCGGCTGATACATAAATTGTCTGGGCCGGCCAATGGACAATTCATTCTTTTTATCCTCCCAAACGAGTCTGGAGGGGGGGGGGCAGTTCGGCCAGGGGGGAGGCATTCTGCACTTCTGCTACTTCTCTACTTCCCATAGACGGGTCGACCAATGTAGGCAGCCATTCCGTGGGTTTGTGAGAGTTGACAGGTTTTACCATGGTGGCTAGATGAGCTTGCTCCGAGCTTCACAGGTTTCACCAGAGTGAGACTTGTAAACCGGAACTAATAAAGTAGCGAAAGTACAGTATTCCCCCTCCCCATCGCCGAGCTGCGCTCGAGAAGAGTAATTTTGAAAGTAAAGCTAAGTGAGCCTGCGGTACGTGTTTTCCTGAATTCTTGCTCTGTATCTCCGGGAAGCTTGTTCAGTTTCCGCCCCCCCCCACCTCAAAGGTAGTACTGGAGTATCCGGAGGCATGTGATGTCATGAAAGATCTCTCGGGAACGAGACTCAAGGATAGGATAGAGGAAATGAGTCATAGCGAGTGACGGAAAGCGATATTTGGAAATAGTTGGTGATAACGAGTGATAGTTCGAGATAGGGCAAATAGCAAACCGGTTTCTTTTTGACAGACATCACATAAAGCAAGAAAACCTGGTGCATGGCATAGCGACACAAAATAAGAAGGCACAGCATAAAATATGTATTGTTGACGGCCCCGCCCATTTGGACAATCCTTGACGCAGATGTGTAGGGAAGGAGGAAGGGCATTTATTTTCGTTTCGGCTTGCTATCCACCGTCGGTTCACTGCATTTAGAGGTAGACAGGTATTGCTTACAAGAGTGACAAGTAATCGCGTAACAACTTCCTTTGATGGCGTATCACGTACATGCTTAAACAAGTCATTTCACAGATGTCATTATATTTTGGCTGAGAAAGACGATGGGAAGTAACGAAAGTGCAAATCCCCCCGCAATCCAAACTGAGCCAGATCGCTTACAACAGCACCATTTTGAATATCAGTCTGGCAGAGAAGTTGCCTTGTGAAAGCCTAAGGGCCGTTTACAAGGGGTCAGCTAAATAGCGACGGGTCGTTGAGAAGGGGCGAAACGAACCATCTGCATTTGGGGTTTTTTTCAATCACCTGCTCTTCTTTGTTCTCATTCGGAGACATGAGACTGAAAATCGATAGCAAATTTACCTCAGTCTTGAACGGTGCAGATTTCCTTAGTATTCACGCTCTATGTGGCTCTAACTGTGCATCTGAGTTGGTTCTCCTTGTAGGGGAGGTCGTTTATGCGGTTGCTGGATAGGGGCACTCACTAGGAAAAATTTTTTCTTGATGGTTGTTTTTTCTCATTTCATGCGCACTCCCGCTAATTGGCGGTTCGGAACGTTTCAGTATCAAAGTGGGTGGTCGAGAGAGTACATGCCCCCGCCCCCCCCCCCTTCGGGCAAATTTGAAAATTCCTAAGAGAAGATGGCGGTCGGTTATGGAAGGGCAGCGCGCGCAGAAGGAGATGTATGAGGGGTACGGAGAGGGCGCTAGTGTAGGCTAAAATTCCGCCCGAATCACCAGCTATGCTTTGTGTGAAGTTGGCGGCGAGTTGTCGTGTAAAGCCAGGCCTGAATAGCACCCTATTCCTCTGCTTGTAGGCTAAGACTTCAAAAACGACCACATTATATCCATCACTATCGAACAGAGCCTCAAGGCAGTAGGTAAGATAAATCTTTAAGATCGTGTAGGGGTAATTACGTCTTTCAAAAGGATGAATCCCACTCCAATCGATGCAAGGCGGCTGCGTTAGCGCTTTTTCAAAAAAAGTGATTTCATAGGCCTATCAAGGCTCTACATTACAGGGAAACCGAATGTCCACCCCGCGCCCCGCCCACACCAACAAATAGGACGACCATACTGATGCTTCGATTGCTTCATTTGAGAAGGTGGAATATGACGGCAGGCCCGGGGGCTTACATGGATATACGCACTACATACGTGCAGCGTTAATACCCGTAGCGGGTACTGGCAAGAATGTCCTGGGAAGCGAGCCCACCAAATTTAGCGTGTCCATACGTCCTTCACCTGCAGTGCGAGCTAGGGTATTTAGCGCAAGGGGGGACTGGGGGGGGGGGGGGGAGCGGCCAGGAGCCATGGCAGAGATATCAATATTGTATTGCAATGGCATCTGTGAAATACTGTTTTTCGATTGGCCTGTGTATGCACAGCTATTGGTCGCTGTCTCCTCACGACCTCCGTCCTTCATCCTTTATCGTTTGTTGCAACTTGGAGTTAAACAAGTATTAACCTATCTTTGTCACGTTACACCTATTCCTCACGCTTCCTGCCCTTGTTTTCTTCGCGCTTCCTGCCCTTGTTTATTGATATGACTATACATACTTATGGTCCACATATTGCTCAGAGCCCTAGCAATCTGTCACGACGTGTCGGAAGCATGGCGTATTCGGAAAGGTGCTGAACGATTTCAGATGAGCACGCTCTGATTGAACTGTTCAATCCTGCACCCTGTGACTTGATTAAGTGGAGTCTTGTCCGCTGTAGATGCAAGGGCGATTCAGAAGAGGGGTGGGCAGGCTTTGGGTGGCGCCAGTTCATTTTCAACCAACTGTAGGAGCTGGCAGGCCACCCAAGCCTCTTGAGATGTCCCAAGGTCGGCAAAAAACAAGACTGCACGTAAGATGAGCTCGAGTGGACAAAATGAGCGAAACTGATAACGTCTTTTGATAGCAACAGTGTTGACAGCGAGAAGTATAGAAGATTTCACCAGCGGTCTCCATCATTTTAGCATTTTCCCAGGGTCATGCGGCATCTCATCGTACTACTGATGTTGGCCCTCATATTCGACATGGGGCTCTTGCTCAACGCTAGTCCGAACCATGTAGCTCCAGAGTCGCCAAAACCGCAGATGTACGAAGAAGCAGCGAAGGCACCCGCAACACCTGAAAAGGCAGTGCACTCACCCGAACCAATGCCACCAGAGGCATTTAAGAAGGTGGAGCTGCCACTCGAACCACCTAGCAAAGTGGAACAGCTAACACTGGCACCTGAAAAGGCGGGGACAGCCAGCCGGCGAACCACCTAGCAAAAATGGGCACCATCATCAGAAGAAAGAGCATGAGCAGCCACTGGGAAAGAACCCTCAAGAGCCACTGAGAAGGTGGAGCAGCCAACCGAAGCACCTGAAAAGCGGGGCAGCACCACGAAACGAAGCCATCAGGGGCACCTGAGAAGGGGGAGCAGCCAACCGAAGCACCTGAGAAAGTGGAGTCAACAGCAGGAGCCAGAACAATTGACCAGCGACCCTGGGAATCCGAAAAGGGAGCGGAGATGCGAGCTGCGTCCTGGTGAAGGTACGCTTTAGCTTTGATAAGTCGAGGTAGTTGATTGTATTTTTCTGTGTTGCAGGTGACTTCCTGGACGAGTTTGCCGAGCAGCTCATTGGGTTCACTGTCCGGGAAATGCAATCGGCACCTTGGTACGCTCCAGAATGGATGGTAGGCACCTTGGAAGTAGCAAGAAGTGGTGTACTGTTTATGGCACTTCCTGCCGCTGGTGAGGATCCCGGGGAAAACACACCACCTCCATTTTCGTCCTCTGCTACAACCTCCCTCCTTTCCCCATCCGCCACTTTTCCTATCCTCCTATCACATTTTCCAAAAAATTGGAAAAATTTTCCATTTTTCACCAAGAATTCTACAATCCTCCACCCCCCCCCTTTCTCCGGCCACCAGAAACGACCCCCCCCCCGCTAGGATCGCCCTACGTAGGATGCTCTCTGGTACATGAATGTGACCTATTTTCAGCTGTATGCGGACGTTCAACAAATCGGTAAAGAAACTAAATAAATACATCGGCGATTTTCTAGACACGGATTGGGATTCATATAAAGTTCTTTGGCATGTAAGTAGAAGGAAGGGGTCAAAAATGGAACTATGAACGCTTTGAAAAAGAAATTTTTTTCAGACGCGGAATCAACTCGAATCATTAGGCCATGGTACTACGACCAGACCAAAGGCAATCGCTACGTAAGCTTTCTCTGGGCATACTGTAGCGCAACGGACCACTACAGTGCGTTCCATAATCATAAAGTCACCT